CTTTCCCAGAGAGTCGCAATGTAAGCCATTGTCCTTTCGGTGTCTACAGCGAGAATCACCCTCTTTGTGACACTGTCTGGTCTGCCTACTGCGACAGTCACGGCTACATCACCGTCCGAACCGTGTCTGGAGTGAGGAACGCGGCTTTGTCCCACCGTGCACTGGGCCTTCTGCGACAGCCGTGGTCTCCCCACTGTCCAATATACGTCCGCCGCAACAGGCACGTTTTTTAAACCGTGTTAACTGTACCTGCTGCAACGATCCTGATTTCATCGAAGCGTCAAAGGTATCCGTCGGGCATATCACAGTTTTGACCATCATCTCAATCATATCTGCTAAGTCACACCGACGTCCCTGCGTGCTTTGCCTGCAGCGACAGTCCCGGTCTTGACCACTGTCTGGGCAGCACTATACATTCGCACGGTTGCTCCATCGTATACCCTGTACCTACGACGATGGTCGTGGTTTGGCGCATCATTTGACCTGTGTCCTACTATCTTGGCCCAGTATTAGGACGAGGAAACCCACCGGCCGAGCGATTTTTCATACAAATCAGAAATGTTGTCATTTGGGTCACCCGCTGCGTCCGTCTCGGCAAGCAGCGCTTCTGGCGTCCTCGCGGCTACTGGTCGCCCAACTATGCAGCTTTTGGCAGCTGGTAGCAAGATTAGTTCAACGTCGTGCTGTCGACAGTTTCAAACACTTGAGGGCACTATATTTGATTAGACGGCGCATGTCTGCAATGCTGCAATGTCACCACCGTTCCACCTCATCATCCGATCGCCGTGTAGGGCGTGGCATTTCTAATCACGGATAAGCTGACGAACGCGTGTCAGACACAGGTGCAGACGGCGGGCATCCGACGTCACAGCCCCGGACCAGCCCGCGCCGACGGAGGACGACACGGACAGGCGTGACGACATGAGCCGTCTGTCGAAGCGTACAGACCGCCGCGCGCAGTCGTGCTCAAACCATGGACCTGCCTAGCTGCGGGCGCTGTTAAGGACTGATATCAGATCACAACCCGCGAGGGCACACACGCGAAACCAGCCGTGCAGTGTATGCGGGCGTACTGTCTGGAGATAAAAGAACGATCTCAACGATGTACAGCCCATAGGCGCGCCAGCAACAGACCGGGGAGCAGTCCATGCTAGTTCTGTCAACATGGAATGTCAAATTTCAGACGCCAGCCTCAAACAAAGCAAGCTGCTGTTTAAACCGAGAGATCGGGACATGGAAACTACGTAGGTGAACTGCCGAATTCATTGCGTCCAATACCCACCCCACGTACTCTGGCGTTTGTTCCAATGCTTTCGCCACAGTCACCAGAAACGGGAAAAGTGAAAACTAATTGAACAAGTCGATTAAAATTGCGAGATCACTGCAAGCTCAAACGCAGCCACATCTCTGCCATAGGCAACTAATGTGCAGACCCTAAATATCAGCGCCCTTCTGCCTGCTGATTTCGTGAAAGTGGGGCATTCCAATGGACTGAGAAGTCTTATCCACATGGGTCCCTACAGAGACGGTGTCTGCTCACTTATGCCTGGGCATCATCTGCATGATAATCACCACATCCATCATCGCCTGACTTGTGTTGCACCGCGAAAGGCGTCCTTCTGCTGCTGTGACGATCTCACTGAGCGTGCTAGGACAGCCATCGCCGCAACTACTATCCCATGCCTGTCACACCTGTCGCCACGGACTCGGTCTTGTCTGCCGAATCTGTGCCCGCCACAACAATTATGGTTTTCCCATAGTCCACTTTATCTATGTTGCGACAGCTACGGTTCGGCCTGCCGTCTCTGCCGTAACAGTTACGGTTCCGTCGCCGTCTCTGCTGTAACAGTTACGGTTCGGCCTGCCGTCTCTGCCGTAACAGTTACGGTTCGGCCTGCCGTCTCTAACGTAACAGTTACGGTTCCGTCGCCGTCTCTGCCGTAACAGTTACGGTTCCATCGCCGTCTCTGCCGTAACAGTTACGGTTCGGCCTGCCGTCTCTGCCGTAACAGTTACGGTTCGGCCTGCCGTCTCTGCCGTAACAGTTACGGTTCGGCCTGCCGTCTCTGCCGTAACAGTTACGGTTCCGTCGCCGTCTCTGCCGTAACAGTTACGGTTCGGCCAGCCGTCTCTGTCGTAACAGTTACGGTTCGGCCTGCCGTCTCGTCCGGGACTGCCGCAACAGTCACAACTTTCCTACGGTCCAATCTGCTTCCATCGGGTCACAGCCCTACTAACCGCCCGAGCAGATTCGCTGCGACAGCCGCGGCTTTACCCCACTGTTTGAACGGCGTCTGTTACAACTGTTACGCTTCTGTCGACCACCTGCTGCTGCAGCGTCTGTTACAACTGTTACGCTTCTGTCGACCACCTGTTGCAGCGGCGCAGACAGGGTGGGGACGTGACAGGTACGAGGCGTGCGGATGGCCGCGTGTAAAATGTGACACGGACTCGCGCCACCTCTAATAAAGACCGGCAAAAGGTTCGCGGCGGCAGTCCAGCTTGAGTGGCTTCACAGATCATTGATTGATGGTGACTAATTTCGGACAATTTGACGTCATGCTTTTTAATTAACTATTTAGGGTCAATATTTTAATACGACTTTCATGAAGGGGGATACGAGTACCGGCCCGGAGTGTTACTGGTTAATCTGCAACGGAGAGGCTAAATGTTTTTAATTCAGTATGCATCTAGTCCCTAAATATTCCCTGAAAGTGATAACATCTTACCCAAACAAAAGCCAGCGATCAGTATCCTAGCCAGCGACAGAAGCCACATTAGAAAAAAAACTAAATAGTACGGGCGTTGCGAACCGATGCGAAGTTCGCTGTAAGGGGAAGCACGAGGGTTTCTGGTGGGGAAGGACGACAGTTTAGCGCAATCATGCCTGTGCCAAGAGAGACAATTCACCAAAATGGCCAAAGGAAGCGCGGAATGGAAACGTGGAGTGGATTTTATGACATGAACTGACATGCACGACGTATACTGGGTTAAAAATATGCATTACAGCATACAAAAACAGGGGCAGTGCATCCACTAATGTCAAGTGAGCAAATACGGCCGAGATACTGAGCGTTCGAGGCTGTTTGTCGCTTATATGATCCTGTTCAAAATAGTAGGAAACAACGCGCATGGCAACGGCATAGCCATCATAGCCATAGCCCTGTGCTAATTGAGCTTCGTTGCCTGGTTCAGGTCAATATCACGACGCAATCCATTTTCAGGGGGAAATGGACCAAAAACCGCTGGGAAACCTTCCGTAAAGTGTGCATGCGCTGCCTCAAGGTACCTCATTCGAAAGAGCAAATGACGGAACAGGAGCAACTAACTGGCAGCATCTGGTCACTTAGCTGACGTTTGGTGCACTCACCAACTTCGGATGCGTTCGGCCTACGGCAAGTTGAATAGCCACGCTCATGCAAGCACATCATATCATTCCTGCTATGTCAGCCACACCTCTAATTGTTGAAAATCGTCCAATGGCAATACGGTCTCGGTGACCTTTTCAAATATTTCGGAGAAGGTCAGGCGTTGCTGCGCAGTGCCCGCGGCCGAGCCAAGTAGTCTCTCCGCGACGTTCCGCGCCTCCCCTTGCCCCGTACTGAGCAGTGAAAGGCAGCTTCCTGTAATCCTCGTACCCGTACCAATATGAACGCCACATGCCCATCCATAATCATTAAATCATTCAAAATCGTCAGCTAAACCATGTTTCCGCCCGGGATCGAACCGGGGGCCTTCCGCGTGTTAGGCGGATGTGATAACCACTACACCACGGAAACCCTTAAGCGTGACCTACAAGCCGACTGGTCAGAAGGCAGCGGCCGCCGACGGCTGACCTTGGTTTGACCAGTTCTTCGGAGGCGGGTTCACCTCAAGTGAAAGCTAACCACTCGGTCAATCATGACGCTCCAACGAATGAGTTCAAATGCAGCCGTCACAGGGGCTGTAGCTCAAGTGGTAGAGCGCTCGCTTAGCATGTGAGAGGTACGGGGATCGATACCCCGCAGCTCCAAAAGGTCTTTGGACTTCGCATTTTTCGAGGTAGAGTCGGGACACTTTGTTAAAAGTGACAAATAGCGCTCACTTCTCGCCGCAAGTTGCACCTCTTGTTTGCGTTACTCCTCTTATTTCACCACTCTGAACTGTCACGGTCACGGTCACGGTCACGGTCTCGGTCTCGGTCTCGGTCTCGGTCTCGGTCTCGGTCTCGGTCTCGGTCACGGTCACGGTCACGGTCACGGTCACGGTCTCTGTCTCGGTCACGGTCACGGTCACGGTCACGGTCACGGTCACGGTCACGGTCACGGTCACGGTCACGGAACAGAACCCTGTAATTCCCTGCGCACATCAAACTGTGAACAAAAACCGCTACCCTCGCTGATGGCTTTGTCGCCCGTCGCGTCTGTTTGCCCTGCATGCGTGCCGCTGCCGCCACCTGCTTCCAGTCTAAGTGAGCCTCCCAGCCTTCCCCAGCCTCAGTCAGCAGTCTCTCTGTGCGGCATAACATCCCAGCCTGCGCTGCGTTCTCCCGCGTCACGGTCGGGACCTGGCCGGTACCGAACCTGACCCGCCCGGGCCGAGTCAGGGCGCCGTCGTCGCTAGCTGTCCGCCGCGGGGGCGTCAAAGGTGGCGCCACCAGCGCACCACTGGCCGGCACATAGTGGCTACGTGTGCCTTTGAAGGCGTGTCACTCGATGGCCACCTTTGAAAGTTTCAGTGGACCGGGGCAGATGCAAGTGAACCATCGCCTAGAAACGAAGTATGAGAGCCTCAAGATGGTCACGGGAGGTCGAGTGCCCCTTAAAAATTATATTAAGCACAAGTACCCGATGCAAAGCTCATATGCTTACTCAGGGCCTAAGAAATTATCTAATTTGCAGTTTTCGATGAAAACCTGACATTGTATTGGTGATGAAAACGCATGGCAGAAACAAACATGGCACTGATATAACCGGCGACGCACCACGGGTGACATCTGGCACGGCCCCGCTGCTGCCCACCTGGTAGTGCTTCGACGCCGCGGTCTGTCACGTACACCAGCTCGGTGTCGGCCACCCAGACGAAGTCGAGTATGGTGGCGCTGCGACTGCGGCAGCCCTGCGAGTACTCCACCGTGTCCGGCTCGCCAGAGAAGTTCACATACTCCTGCCCACACAGAACGCAACAGCGCATGACGCTCAGGGCGGGGCGACGGCGATGAGACGTCCGGCCGACAACCACAGCGCCAACGGAGGGTCACGTGTTTTTGTCAAGCAAAGCCGAAGAACGCAAAGGTCTTGAAACGTTTTAGAACATGTCTTTTCGTTGCCCGTGAGCGTGACTTATGTTTCACTTTTAACGGGATGCGAGTATCCGGAAGATTTTGGAAATGCATCTAGCATGAGAACCCAGACCTAACATGCATCATACCCACAAAGCAATGACATTACCTCCAAGTGCGCAACACCTCGTCAAGCCAGTCGCTAAGAGTCGAAACGATTTACTCAGAGCGAATTCGGAAAGCTGCTTCATGACGATACAGCTATTTTGGTACCGTGCCCGGACGCTGGCGCGTCGCCTCAGTCCGACTGCGGACGTTTCAATGACAATGTGAACACCGTAACTAGGCCACCATCTAACAAATCGTGAGTGCCCGTGAGCAGTTCATGTGCTCGATATGGGATGTTTCCCAGGCTCACCACAGACGTCTTGTTCCGCTGGATTGCCAGCACCTTCTGGTCCGGAGAGAACTTGATCGATATCACGGGGCCGCGGTCCTCCATACGGAAACTGGCGTTCCTCGTCGGGTCCAGGCTTTTGGCAACCACACCGGTGGCGCCACCCGAACGGACGGCAAAAATCTGCAACGCACGCATCCGTGCAGAATGCCCTGGCATTATGGAATCCGGAACTGGTGGGACGCAAGTGAGCTGTTCCGTTTGGAGGAGGCAGGCTTGTCCTCCACTCCAGGAGATGTCGGAACCCACCCCGGCATAGGTCGGTATCGACTCATAAATATGTCGGCATTGACTACGGAATATGTCGACATTGACTTGACTCAAACAAAATATCTTTGATCTATGGTGCAATCAGTCCCTATGAAATTTATTGTTATCAGGGCCAATCTCCGGCCAATACAATTTGCTCCACTGCATTGGCTTGGTTGATGAACTAGGTATACTTAAAATGTGGCTCACAAACATGGTTGTGATATGGATAGCCATGCATGTGTGGCTTATAAATGCACCATCAAGCTTCTGATGATTTTATGACCTGACCATGCTCACACAAAACTGTTAGAGCAGTTTGTTTTATAAACTGTTGCCACTGAAATCAACTCCAACAAAATGGATCCCAAATTGAGCTACCCTGCTCAGGGTCCACATCAGTCAATCACATCCATTATGGATGTGAGATGGGATCTACCCTACCAGTATGGATTGAGCATACCTGGGAGATGGAATGTCATAGGTTAATACAACCCATCTGAATTGCACACAGTACTACTTCAATCCCTCAGCATTGTCACAATACTGAAGAGGCAAACTCATCAAGCATTTAATAAAAATGCTGAGTCCATCTGGCATAGCAGACTGCCATGTATTATTGTCACAAACCATTAATAATCATACCTGCTTGTTTGACTCATCAAAAAACACAGCAGTGACCTTGTTGACTGGCTCAAATCGAATCAGCTCTGTATTCAGGAACAGAAGGCTGTCTGTGGACTCCTGGTCCACAGCCATTGTAAACAGTCAGAATGCCTGTAAAAGTACAAGTCACTTTAGTTCTCCTGTAAAAGGAAATCTGGAGAGGTTCACTTTATACAAATTATTCAAGAGCACATAAAACACATGCACTGCATCACTTGATATTCTCCCAGCATATCTAGGTCTGTACATAGCCAGGAATGTTTGCAAACAGTCACAATGCCTGTAAAATTTAACATATAGCACAGCTGCGAGTACATTATTTTAGAGCTGCAAAATAATGACTGAACACATGAATCCCAAGTGGTTCCATTATGCATGCCCAAAGTATGCCAGCTTCTCACTTAACAATTATAAGGACCCTGCTACCTAAACAAATCATATGCAGGAACAAGAAAATGTACATTAAGCTTTCAATTCATCTGATGCAGTCTAGTATATCATGATGTACAAAGAGCAACAAATAAATACAAATGGATAATGGTGTGATCACAAGATATCAAATGCACTCAAACATTGGTGCTTCAGACAAAAAATATAGATATTTAGTAAAAGAACTGTCAAAACTTTAGAACCTGTTGGATTAAAAAAAAATCATGAGAATGACATGTGAATGGACTCTGTGATAAAAACAGTGAATGGAGTTTCCAGCAAATTAACCTGATCCATCTGTACATGGATGAATCAAGAGGTAAGTTTTCCAAACAATTAATGTTACAGCAATGATATATCTGGCAGTCTTCAGTGGAATCTCTCCAAGGTTGTTCAGTGAAGTATTATGGACTAGGCAACTTGGAACAAACACTTTCTGTAAGGATGTGCCTACTGTGCCAGATGCCTATGCAACATCTGAGTATTGAGACACGAGCTTGTGTGGCATTGTCAGGCCAGGTCAAATTACACTGGATTTTTTATACCCTTAAGGATGCCATACCTTTGGTGTATTTTGGCCTAAAATCATCTCTGCAGCATCACAATTCCCTGAAATGTTGATAACCTATGATATGCACTAGTGCCAACCATGTTCCAAACTCTCAGCACTCTGATTTACCATGTACACTGCGTGAGTGTACTGAAATTGTTGCTGTGATGTCACTCTCACACCAGAAATGCACAGTGTAGCAAAAAGTTGCCCCTTGGGTCTTAGCCAAACTTGGTTTAACCTTCACTGGTGCAAAGACATCAAGGCACAAACGATATATCCAGGGACCTATGGCTTCAGTATTCGAATAAACGTGATCTTGAATCACGTTGTGCAAAACTTAATGCTTTGATTTTTCAATCCATTAGTTTTAATACTGGGAAAATTACACCAAACCCAAGCACATACACCACCACACAGATCTTACCAACACAGGTCACAATATCAGAGCGCTCCCTGATGAGTATTCTCACTTGTAACTGTTCAGCCATCACAGCTCACACTCAGCGTACATGAATCAGTTTGTTTCCAAGGGGCCAGGTATGACTGAAAAGCGTCATATCAAGCAGCACAAATGACGGCCATATCCGTTTACCAGCTACCAAACCCTATCTTCCCTTCATGAGGGCCACAAACGTAAAAGCTATTAGTAATATGAGCAGTCTCTATACCACCCTACCCTCAACAGCTCAGACGGTTTCGCGCTGTTTGCTGATGCAAGGACTCGAGCAAGTTCCAGTGACCAACTCTGATTTGACGAGACGAACTGATGATCTGAAGGTGTCCAACTCAACCTTTGGAAGATGAGGCGTCGGGGCCAACCTGCTGGAACAAAATGGAATATTCGCCGCCGCCTAGAGGCCGTGCGCGAGATCTATTCCAGCGGTTCACTTTGTATACTTTTGGGGTCTGAGGTCCTCCCCCAATGCTGTCTTGAGTCCCCTCAATACTCTTCTGAGACCCCGTCCCGAAGCATAACAACAAAAAGGGAATAGTGAGCCAATGAAATGTTACTCGTGTGTGAACTGCTGGTACACTTACGCACCTAAACGCATCACCATCAATTTCCTCATCATACAAAATCGTCATCACCATCAAATGAGCTTCAAACGGGCAGTCATTCAACATTATCACAGCAATTTTGAGACCTACCACAAATTTGTCATTTCTTTTTTGTATTTCAGCATCAGAGGCCCATGTTGAAATGGCCAAAATTCATTGAGAGATCAGGGTTTGGGCTGGGTCAGGTCAACGTCATTGGCTTAGCCCCTCCCCCTCCCCCCCCCACTACCACCACCGATTTGACAAAGTGACCCGCTGACCTCAAGGGTGCATCAGCAATGTTATCTAACTTGCAAAGCCGCTGGGCACATCTCCTTACCGTTTCCACCAGCGTTGCAGCCGGAATTTGTGGAGGGAGGGAGGGGAAAAATAAGTTTGCTTGAGGGGGAGAATCTAAACGAGCGAGTTTCAGCCCATTGGCAGCACCTACGCACTGCAAGCAGACCTCACAAATGCTAAAAAGTACAGTGCCTAGCATATTAATGACCTACCGATGTTGGTTTCCACCGGTGTCCCGCACTTGTTTCCATTGTTCCAGCTGTGCATCGTACATATTTACTCGTCTATCTGTGAGGCTTGTTACTAACCGATAAGCTGTCGATTTAGCCTTCTTAGTCGCTCGAGGTGCAAAGTGTTGGCTGTCGGAGCTAGTCGTTTTTAGTCACTCTGTCAGAACAGAGGAGCGCCCTTGCAGATAGGGTGGAAGCTACCCGACCCGAAGCACAGAGGAGGTCAGGCGGTCCGGCCCGTTGGTGGCGGCGAATGAATGAGCACAGATTTCTGGAATGTGGGGAAGGTAGGTGGATAAGATCATGTGCACAACCGGGATGCCATTTTTCCATCGCGTTCGTAAATTCAACATGTGTTGTGACAACATGTTCAGCCTTATCGCATCGAGGGCAACAGTTTGACATGCGTCACAACACAAATACCAACACCATAGACATTCGGCTGTTTCTACTCGCTTCAACGTTTATAGTTCTGACCAGTCAGGTATATATATGCAACAAGCATGCTTACTGCAAACTGAATGTCAACAAAGTTCTTGCAGGAACAGGTGCTTTCCAATGAGTGGTGGTGACATTACGTAACTGCTTAGTTCGGAGGATTTGCCTGTGTACAAAACCTGGAATGGTACGAGTTGGTACACCCATTATTTTCTGCGTACGACGTCGCGTGATGCAAGATTTTTTGCGGGGTGCAAGATTTGTGAGTGAATGACGCTTTGTGGACATGTTCTGTCGCATGCGAATGTGAAAGCAGCTTTAAGTGACGTCTGAGTTAAATCTCATTTATAGATAAAAGCCACGTAGAGGAAGGTTGAACGTAATCACGTATAAAACAGCACAGGTTTGAGAAAAAAATTAGCATAAATTGTTTGACGGTGCTTTGGCTTTGGTAGCCCCTCTTCCCCATCCTGTTGCTAGAGATCAACGACTGTGGCAGATAACATCATGACATAATTGTGTCAAGACCCTAAGCGCTTTTGCAAAGGAGCTTCTGACAATCATCCTACCGAGTGGTACACAAAAAGAGAGAGTTGTAAATTCCGAATGTGTCTGAATGCCACGTCAATACGACGGTTTAAGGCTATACCACAAGTAGTCTATAGTAGAAGAAGGTATTCGTTTGACAGTGGCGACCGGTGACAAACATTTTCACTCTTCCACTTAGCGACCATTTTTATACATGACCGTTTCAGCGGCGTTTGCAGAGCGGTCTTTTCTGATGAATGACATCTAGTTGTTAACTTAAGTTGAGCGTCTGGCTCTAAATCTCAAATGATGCACCAGCACTCTTCTAAAACGGCAGACAGCTTTTACGTGGCAAACGCTTCAAGCCATGGTCCAGGGGTGGTAAAAGTGCATCTTTTTGTCTCGCCGACCAAGTCTCTGCAGGCAAAATTGTCGCCAGCACCGTCCTGCAATACCATAGGACATGAAATGGCAATGACGTCCATGCTCAGTAGCGTAAACAGGAATCGGCATATCACCGAAAGCCTCTTTCATCAGCACAACTTGCAATATCATGCACACAAGCGAACCGTTCATTTTACGATATCATTCAAATAAGGCCAGGACAGCTGCTGCTGCGAATAATGCAAGCACACCGGCCCAAGGCCATTGGGTAGACAACTCACCGAAGCAGACCTCCTCCACTCTCCGGGACTTGCCATGGCGTCAAGTTTGAGCTTGATCTACGGCTGGATTTGCTATCCTCGATCACGAAAAAACGACGGAGGACCTCGACAGCCAGGGCAGCTGAGTACATGGCAGAATTGTAACCGGTGGCAGGCAGCACCGCGGAATGATGTCCAACATGCAGGCCTCCTCGAGGCCACGTCCGCTTACAGAGTCAACGTATGCGCTTCGAGCCCCACTCCGACCATCATGATAATCCACCATAACTTGGGTATGCTCCAATCCTGGCGCGACAGGTGTTGCCTGGCGGGCGCCTCAGGAATTGGTAGATGCAGGTTCAAACTGGGTTTCTATGCTGCATGGAAAGGAAGAAGCAAATATTGGGTTCCATGGTTGGGTTGAGATTGCGATGAAGACGGCTGCGCAAATGCTGAGCAAGAGGCAGTGGGGGTGTGCTGGAAGAAGGATGAATCGGGAGGACGGAGAGATGAGAGCGTAGAACTGTTTGAAAAAAAACAGTTGTTCCATATTCTTGCCATCGTGAGTAAAAAAGTCATTTGCGGCTGCAGCCCAACTTTAAAAGACTTTTCATCCTAATACGAACAGAAGGTGCCAGAAATTTCAGGCTCGAGCTTTACGCGCACCCGGGTGGCCGGCTGGATACCCTTCGCTCGGGTGGGGGGGGGGGGGTCAGTTTGACCCTTTGAGATCTCCGCAACTAAGAAAGCTAGAGACACCAAAGTTACAAGGTCTGTTGACCTGTACGTGCACTGTACGAGTGGTAGTTTGAGATTCCTAGGTCATGACCTTCGGGTCAAATAATTCCAAATTCCCCCCAAATCGGAAAGGTCAAATTCCAGGTTGGTTCCAAAGTGCCCCTAGAACCTAGATAGCTGTTTCTAAGCAAAAGGTCACATGTTCATTTAAGGTCAGTGACCTTGTTTGACCTTTTGAAGATCATGGTGACTAAAATCATGCAAGATTGTTTTATGTTTTGCACTTGAATAAGGGACAAATATTATGCTAAGCAGTATGTTTCTCAAAACAAAGTTTTGACCCAGGTCATTTCAGGTCAATGACCTATTTTGACCCCGAAAAGGTCAATGGAAGATGCATGATACGGTTCCTGCTATCAATAACTTCGAAATGAGCACCAGAAACTGTCCCATACAGAAAGCCCTATGGTAAAAAAACAGGTTGGTTTTGACCTTCGTCTGACCTTCATAACTGATCTTAGGTCAACGTAACGTGCTCATTCAATATCTGTGTAGCCTAAGAAGGCATCTCAGAGACGTATGGCTTTATCTAACACTCTGTTGTTGCATCAGATTAGACGATTCCCTAGAAGTTGGCTTCGCTGAAACCACGACCACCTGCGACTGACACGACTGACTTTGACTTGGCATAGGTCAGCGACCTTATAAGGTACATCTAAATTTGTTATACGAAACGATTCGTTATCCAGTTGTCTACAGTTATGAGCAACTTGGCGCGGCTACGCCGCGCCGTTCGGAAGCAATTCTGGAAAAACCTTCGGGAGGGGGGGGGGGGGTCAATTGAACCCTCCACCCGAGCGCATGTTAGTGATTTCCCGCCTTTTGAACAATGTCATGACGTGTTTTCACCAACATGACACGTACTAATGATTGCCGATCCTAGCCGTCTTCTAACCCTTTGCGCACAAAAGCTGAACAATTCGCACGCTGATTTGGACGCATCGAATGCCCGAAATTGTTAGTTTTGTTGAATTCATGCGTCTGTCCTTATCTGAACCATGGCCTGAAGATGCTTTTTTTCAACTTAACACAAACAAAGTCGCAAACAAATTCCTGACTGAAACATTGGCATTCACAGCCCTTTTGCGTCGCGTTTAGATATGTTTTCCGCGCAGGTGTTCGAAGGTTTCACTTAATGCGTGATTACCAGCAGCTCCATTTTTTATCGCAAAATTAAATCAAAGCTATTCAAAACGAATTTTGATCGTCAATGTCAATATTTATTCCTTTCGAGGGGCCTATTGCGAGAGCTCTGTTTGACTGCACATGGACTGTATTGCACGATCCATAACCCCAGCCCTTCGGCACACCTCCACGCAGGGCCCTTGCCCCCCCCCCCCCCCCCCCTGCCACCTCATCACCCTGACCATCAAGGAACCCTCCAGTCACTGTCACTGTCATTCCTCCGCTTCGTCAGTGCCTCTCGTGCCGGTCACAATTATTTTTAGCGGTTCGCTGGACGCCTGGATACAGCGGGGTCGCTCTGGCCACTGAAGAGCACTCAGGCCATTGATATGTCCCTCT